GCGGTCCAGGCTGATGCCTATGGTGGAAACCCCCAGGAGTCTCCAAACCCTGTAGCAGCTGCTCCGAATGACTAGCTGACGAGTGTGTGACCAAGGTCAGCAGTCAGAATGCAAGGACAGAGGCCACTGAGGGTTCTGACAAGTGCAGAGGGGCAGGTTAGGGGGAACTTGGGTGTGTCGGCTCCCAGCTTCAAAGGTACAAAGGTACTGTGCTATGGGCTGAATTGTGTCCTCTCCACCCCTAAGAAATCCAGATGTTGAAGTCTTTAACTCCCAATGTGATGATATTTGGAGATGGGGCCTTTGGGAAATAATTGGATTAGATGGGTCATTAGGGCCAAGCCCTCATGCTTAGATTGGTACCGTGTAAGAAGAGGCACCAGAGAGCTTTCGCTCCCTCTCTCTGCCAGTGGAGGATGCTGGGAGAAGGTGGCCAGGCAGGGAGAGGGCTCTCACTGAAACCTGACCATGCTGGCTCCCAGTCTCTGACTTCCAGCCTTCCCGATCGATGAGAAAATAAATGTCTGTTGTGCCAGCCGAGCGGACTAGGACACAGGAGAATTGCTGTCAGCCCCTCTCCTGGCTGCGGCTTTTCTGCTCACTCTGGGGTTCTGTTTAATCCTTCTGCCCCAGCCATGCCCACGTATCTCTCTGGCACTCCCTCAGAGCCTGGAACCTTAACCTGCCCCCTGTGCCCTGCTCACTGGCTTCAGAGTGAGCAACAGGCACACCTATTACTCTTACCACAGCTGAGTCCTGGCCACCTTGTGATGCAAACACTGCAGAGCCATCAGCTGCCATCGGTTAGCGTTCAGACAGAACAAGAAGCCCCAGAAAGCGTATGCCAGTGTGTCAGTGTGGGTGTGGGTTTGTTGGGTGTGAGATGTGTGTATATTTCTGAGTGAGTGTGCATGTGGGTAGGTGTTGAGAGACTGAGTACAGTTGGACAATGGCCAGACCCACCACCTGCAGCACACACAACCCAGGAAGCCAGCCTGCTACGAGTCAACGTACAGGAAGTCAGACCCTATCTCTAGTAACCACAAGTCCTGTAACAATTGGCCCCAATTTTTCCCTCCCACTTTCAATTCAGGAGGAGCAAATATGTGCCTCCAAAGCAATAACTAAATCTCTCTTCTAGCTCCCCATGCCAACAGCATCCCCCAGGGCACACCTGAAGCCTCGCCTTTTCCCCCTGTGAAGTGCTCCGCTCTGCTGCCTGCCTGTCAGTCTCAGCCAAAGCACGAGGGATGTGGCGGGCTCCCTTGCTGTAGCAAGCCCGGAATAAACAGCCTTTGCTTGTCCTCATTTGGCTGGTCTCCATGGATTTCCACAGTGTGCGTGTATGAGAGGGAGTGCTGTGTACATGCGTGAGTGTGTGTGTGTGTGTGTGTGTATGTGTGTGTGTGCCTGTCTGTGTCTATTTTTTTGGGGGGGGGGGAATGGCAATGTTGGGGCTAAGAGGGAATGCAGGGGTAGCCTGCACTGACTACAAATCTTACCATTTCTGGGTTTGTTCCCTTAGCGTCTGTCCCTTCTGTTTTGGAGCTGATGGGAGGGAGGGGAGATAAGGAGACAGGAGGGAAAGGAGGAGGGATTGGATGAGAATCTCTTCTGTAACACAGAGAGGTGATTGTAAAAGCCGGGGTTTGTTGGGGTAAAGTAATAGAGTCCCCAGAACCAGCAAGCACTTTCTGTTCGTGCCCTCCTGAGTGTGAGGCGTCTCAGGCGTCATTACCCCTGCTGTGTGCCTGCTGTTTCCTGCAGAGGCTCCTGAGACTGGGGCCCTGACTTCCTGCCACGAGTGTATCAGGATTTAATCTGAGGCTGGGCGGCCACTTGCCAAAATTAATGGTTGGTAAAATTAGAACAAACAGAGGTAAGATAGCCCATTACCTACCACACAGTCTCCCTGTGATTTTAACTGCAGTAAAGAGATCGCCAAGGTGCTGCCATTTTCTGATCAATGATGGTAATTTTCTTCCCCCTAAGATCAGTTTAATCACGGCAAGGGTCTCAGAGAGCACAGAGGTCAAAAGAAAATTATACGGTTGTGCAGGATGTCTCCGCGGCCTCAGTTTATTCTGCACATCATTCTAACCGATGGAGGGCTGTGCTTGCTCAGAAGTAACGCCGGTGCACTTGTAGCAGCTCTGAGGAACCGTCTGGCCAGGCCTCTGCAGGGGGCTGCAGAATAAGACCTTCTGTGGTTTTAAAATCAAAGAAACCAAGGCTGACACCTCGCCCTTGACAAGCACGTGCCTCGAGCCTGGGCCCCAACAATGGTTTTAACAGGGGGTATGTGGCGAAATGAAGAGAGCTCCAAGCCCTGGGCCTCTTCTGTTGCCGGTGTGTGGCAGCTGGAGAAATGCATGCGAGTACAGGATAACTGCCAACCAAACTCAGCGCCAGAGGGTCTCAGAGCCAGTGGCCTATTCCCTTGCGCAGCGAGAGTTTGATGAATAGTTCTTTCCCTGTTGCTTTCCAATCAATCATCAGGTTTTGATCGCGTCTATTTTCTTCCACCATTTGTTCTGTGTTGTCACCTAAAGGGCAAAGGCATATTAAATCAGGAGTTGACTTAATTGCCAGTTTAAAACATTAAAATCCATACTGTAAACCCATTAGCAAACTGCTCATTACACGAATCACCAACCTACTTCTTGTGCATATGAATGGAGACAAACAGTGACTAATGACATTAAAAGCAGCAATGTACTGAATCAAAAACTAATGGCTATGTCAGGGGCAGAGAAATTCCAGTCACCTCAAGTGTTTACACCAACCAGATCACTGCAGATGAAAGCTACTGGAAAGTGGTGTCTCATGATAACCTACAGGAAAGGTAGGTATCTGATGTCTCTATCTGCCCAGTCTCTCTTAGCACCATAACAACCATGATTATGAAATTGCATTCTCTAGTGCTTAGGCCCTAACCCTAAACCAATGGAAGGACTTCGGTTAGAACACAAAAACCTAACACTCTAATCTCCCTGAATACTGGCCTAAACAGACACCTCCTTCCTGCATTGTTTTAATTGGGTAGAATTTCCACCCCATTCTAATCCAACTCAGTCCTATTTTGCTTGTTGTTAACAACCTCTGAGGAATTTATTGTCATGCAAAGAGGAAGAAAGGTGAAATGCAAATCCTCCCTCCCCGCCCCCCCCCCTCCCACACACACACATCCAACAGACTCTGCTTTGGAAATATACCCTTTAAAAGATCATTTCTCTCTTACCATATGGTCCAGCAATCAGGCCCCTTGGTATTTTTCCAAAGGAGTTGAAAACTTACATACACACAAATATCTGCACAGGGATGTTTATAGCAGCTTATTTTTAATTGACAAAATTTGTAAGCAACTAAGATGTTCTTCAGTAGGTGAATGGTAAATCACTGTGGTACATGCAGAATATTATCCAGACCTAAAAAGAAATGAGGTATCAAGCTGTAAAGACAAGGAGGAACCTTAAATGCATAATGCTAAGTGAAAGAAGCTAATCTGAAAAGGCTACATACTGTATGAGTCCAGCATATGACATCTGGAAAAGGCAAAACGATGGAAACAGTAAAAAGATCAGTGGTTGTCATGATGGGGAAAATAAGACATTTTTGGGGGGCTAGCAATCTGAATCTGTGCCAGTAACCTATTGCCCATTTTTGATAGCCTATAATTAAGTCACTGCCCCTTTTTCCACAATCTGGTCTTGCAAGACCTGTTTACCTAAGTACTCCCATTTTACAGAGGCCATAAACCATGAACAATACACAACCCCCAGAGGGGGTTATCAGCACTGACACCAGGCCAGGCCTTTAGGTGTGGTCTCACAGCCCCCATCCCAACACATGGGGCTTTTTGCAAAGCCCACGAAAGGTCCGGAAGTCCCATCCATATTTGGGGGACAGAGAAACCAAAGGGTATTAAGGGAGAGCTTCTTCCATATTGGTTTGCTCAGGATTTGGAGAGGAACAGTCTCCCCTGAGTCACTGTACCGGTACATGTGAAACATCTGAAAATAAGTGGGTTTTTCCTGTATCTCTGATACTCCTGCATATTTTTCGGTCTCCTGGTAAATTCTGGAACAGTCAGGGGTTGGGGGAGGGGGGTGCTGAGTGGAACACTGAGGATCTTTAGGCCAGTAAATCTACTCCGTACGATAGATATTACAGTGAAAATACATGTCATTACTACTACACATTTGTCCAAACCCATAGAATGTACAACCCCAAGAGTGAACTTTGGTTGATTATGACGTGTTCATCCGTTGTGACAAATGTACCAGTCTATGGGGGATGTTCACAATAGGGAAGATTATGCATGTGTCGGGGCAGGGGATATATGTGAAATCTCTGTACCTTCTTAATTTTTCAGTGAACCTAAAACTAAAGACTTAAAAAAAATAAAGTCTTTATAAAGAAAAAAAGGAAAAAACAAAATGAACAGAAAATAACTCCCTAAAACAAACATAAAAAGATCATTTCTCTCCAGGGAAGCAGAGCACACCTTTCAGGCTTGGGTGTGGCATAGTCCTCTCCCTCTCCGTGAGCCTTGAGGGAGGGGCATTCCTCCAGGGCCCAGGAAGGAGGCTGGGCCTGGCTGGAGAGAAGTGGCCTGGCCACGATCTCATGGTGCTGATGTCCCTGCACTGTCCACCATGGCAGGACTAGCTACACGGAGTTATTTAAACTTAAATGAATAAAGCAGAAAACTAAATATTCAGTTCGCACTAGCCTCATTTCAAGTGCTAATGGCTACTGTCCTGGACAGCACCGGTTTGGAACATTTCCATCATCTCAGGAAGTCCTACTGCTGGCCAGCGCTGCTCTAGACGCAGCCACAGGGACTCACCTGTGGGTTGAGTAAAATCACAAATCAAGAATGCATGTGGTTCAGGACCCCCCACCCCCACCCCCACTCTCAGATTCCAAATGACACCTGAGCACCGACACCGTTTCCACGGGGACAATTTCCAAAGGCAGAAGCCCGCGGCTGGGCCGGGGCTGCAAAGGGCTTGGGAGGCGTGCTAACTGCATCAGCGATTGAAGAGCAACTTCTCTTTTGCAATCCTTGCTGGTCTGACAGGCTCCTGCAGAATTACATCACTTCCTAAAAAAACAGGCAAACACTTCTCCTTCAAGTTAGCACCTACCCAAACAAGCAGGAAACAGGAAATGTTCACGTTTCAGGGAGGCTGAAGCCAGCGCAGCATCGTGCGGGAGGGAGCGCCCAGGCCAGCTGACATGAAGGCTCCCGGTGCTGCCCGCCTCTGTGCCCTGATAATCGCACTCTTCCTCACTGGCCGGGCTCAGGGTAAGCTACCTCCACTGCAGGAGGAGGATAATGAAGCCTTGTTCGGTGCCCCAGGCTCTAGAACTCTGCTGGGGAGGCTAACACCCAGAAAGTGTAATCCTTTTTTGTGAAAGAAGCGGAGGAAATTCGAACTGTCTTTTTAAGGTGGTGGGGTGGGAGGGTGAACTTGCCTTTCCCTGCAGCTATGAAATCGCGCTCTAGCTCGATCGCTTACTGTGACCTCCCTGCAATCTTTTTGTCTTCTAAGATATGTGGGTCCCTGTAATTTACCAGCTTTAATGGGCATATTAAGAAAACCATAAAGTCTTTGGCAGTTCATGGAAAAGAACGTTTCATTCAGCTGAAACAGAGAAATAATAATACATTTGTTTTTAATAGTGTGGGCTGAGAAGTCTGCTGGTTTCAAACACTCCTCGAAAAATTGTGGTATGGAGATTTACTACTGGAAAGTATACTAAAGAAAAACATACGTTTAGAAAAATGCAAACAGGAAATTATCTGAGGCATTCCCAGGCATCCACTCTTAACTTCTCAAGAAAGGTCTTTCATTTGTTTTTCTTTGATCTTGTTACTTTGGGGGACTATGTCTTTGAGTTGATTGTTACTGATGCTTTGTTTAAAAAAGTGATATGATAATAATTGCAAATCAATGCTACTGAAAAAGGCAAAATGTTAAATCTAATTCTTTTGAGCTAAGAGCAGCTATTGGTTTATACCCTGGGCAGTTAGAGCAAGCATGGTCACCCTCAAATGCCTCTTACAGTTGTGTTGACTCGCCCTTGGGTAAATAAACTTGCTGCCCATGGTTTCTTCAGGGCATGCTACCTGCTTCTGGTGTAGGACAGAACTTCAAGCAACAGGCAAGTTCTCAAGCTGCAGTTCTTTAAATAGGATGGGGCATTAGGCACTGATGATCTAACAGATGTCACAACTTCCCTGAGATTAGCAGTCAGCATGCAACCACCCCCACCCCTCCAATTTCTCTTTCCCTGTGAGTGCTCTGCACATGGTCCCTCCAGGCTTTGAGGTGGGAAATGAAAGGTGAAAGGCAAACCATTCCAACTGAAAAGGTGTTTGGTTGAAATTGAGGTTAGCGTTTAAAATAAGTTTGGGGGACAATGTTTTATGCACAAAGTTTTGGAGCTGGAAGGGAGCCTAAAGATTATGCAGCTCGAGCTGCACTGGGGGTCCAGGGGAAGAAACTGAGGCAGAGGAATTTGTGATGTCTGAATCCCCCTGGTCAGATTTTCTGACGGGGACTCCAGGGGGCCAACCACGCCCCCTGCCAAGACCGCTGAGCTAGACTCCCTTCTCCTCAGGGCATCCCTCAGCACACCAAGGAAGTGGAGCCTCGCCATCCCATTTCCACCTCTTGTAACCCTTATGACTACCACAAACACCCCCCTGAGAGTAATATGGACCTTGCCTGAGGATTTTCTTGAGCTTCTTAAAAATGAATAGAAGTATTTGCAATTGGGGAGATGCAGAAGAAAAATCTGAAGAGACTCAATCCTTAAAACTTCTCTTTCTGAGACCCTACCTGATCATGTGACTCTTCCACTTAAAGACCTCCAGTGGCTCCTCGTTTATGCTCCTTGGACTCACACCAATCTCCTTCCCAGTGGCACCTCCTTCCATGTGTCCTCCCACTCCCTAGCCACACCCCTCTAGTCACACTGAGCTGTAGTGTTGACAGGTAGTGTTAGCATGTCAGAAGTCAAAGACAAAAGGCTGCATTTAAATCACAGATGATAATCTGCATTGTAGTTGAGCACGGGGTTTATCTAGCTAATCCAACACATTTATTGGGCCCTTCCTGGATTCCCCAGGTCTGAAAATACAAAAATGCCACTTGAAAAATGCATGTATAATCAAAGGGTATTACTTTGAGATTAGTCAAGGAAAAGACTACTCTAAATGAATATATATTTTTAAATTAATTAATGTATATCCTTTTGATCTGATGGTGCCTAAGACTTGAGGATGTGAGTTGGTTTATAGGTGTCACACTTGTATTTCCTTGGGTTCTTCAAAAATTACCTTGGAACTGTCTGGTGGGAGAATCCAATCTCCTGAACAGCCCAACTTTCCCTTGCAAGCATATTGAGGGATAGGTCTCAAATGAGGCCTTTAGTAACCACAATCAGGCAACATTATCTAATACCTGCAGTTCCTTGAGACCTGCCTCATTACCTCTGAGTCAGCATCCTTCTCTTTATGTAGATTGAGAGCCTGATGAAGAATTGATTACTATCCCAGTGAGTAATCCACTTAGAAGTCACCAGGAGAGAAATGGGAAAACAGCTTTTCTGCGATTTTGACCAAACAGAAGAGCATAGTTAAAGGAAAGCTCTGGGCCCAGGTATCTTGGCCAGTGTCAGATGCTAAGAAAATTCAGACTCAAGGTGACATTCTGCCCTCGGAGTGAAAGGAGACATGCCTACCTCATTCCTTACCCTGAGCCCTGTCAGTGTCAGCTTAACACTATCCGCAAGCTAAAAGCAACTTCTCAGATACCAAAGGCATGGGATTTATTAGCTGCTGCAAGCAGGATGGTTTGTAGAAAGAAGGTCAAGGGCAGAAGGCAGAAACAAGGTGGCTGCAACTGTTCGGGTGGCCAGAGTCAAACACCGGATTGGACAGAGAGGGCTGGGAGATAGTCTGGGCTGATTCAGAAGAGTAAGAACCATGTAATTACTGATTAATGAACCTTCAGAAGGAGATAAAGAACAGGAGAACATACCAGTTGCATAAATGAAGTGGCACTTTCTGACACTGTCCTCATTTCAATGAATGTGACTGCCACCTGCGATTGTCTGGGACAGTCCCAGGGAAGCAGTAATGATGATGATAGGGAACATACACAGTGCTCATTACATGCCAGGCACTGTTCAAAAACTGTCCACGAACTAATTCATTTAGTTCTCCTAACAGCCTAAGGCAATAGGTACTAGTACCCCTGTTTTACATATGAGAAAACTGAACCACAGAGAGGTTAAATGATTGGCCCAAGGTCACACAGTGAAGCAGTAGATCTAAGCAAGATTCAGTTTCAGGAGTCTATGCTCTAACCTTATACTATATTGCCTCTGGGTTTGCAGGCTATGTGTCTAGTTTCAGGTTTCGAAAAATATGTCTCTGGTGCCTTCCCAACCGTAGGTAGACACATAAACTCTTGGCTGGGCTCTAAGGTCACTTACCACATGTTAATAAAGAAGCTGTATGTGGTGTGGTCAGAGACTGGCTGACAGGAAAAGGAGTGGTGAGAGTTGGGTTAAACTTTGGCCTGGAGAGGGGGGAGGGAGAGGCTGAAAGGTATAGAGTAAACAAAACAGACTCTGGGGATTAGCATAGTTAACACCAGAAGCAGGTAGGCCAATGCTGAAGTCACTGGGTAAGAGGCTTCAGGGTGTGGGAACCAGAGAGGAAAAGCCCAGCCTTGTGGGAGAGAGCTGACCCCAAGGACCAAACACACACACATACACACACATAAGCAGAGAGGGATTTGCTGAGGCTTAAAGTCCCCCTGCTTCTAAAAGGATGACCCAGGAAATCAGAAGAGGGCAGGATCTTGGCTGGGATGAGCTCAATTCTATAAAGAAACAATGCAGCCTGCAATTTGCCTACTTGTGTATAGTTTGTATAGTTTGCACCACCCTCAAATGTTGACAAAATGTGGAGAAACAGGAACTCTGAACCGCTGGTGGGAAGGTAGATTAGTGCCCTCACCTAGTCTGTCTTGCAGCTTAACACATCCATTGGGCTTTTAATTTCAGCTATCATATTTTTATTTCTAGAAAATCCTTCATCTATATTATAGATATAGTATAATATACTAGAGGCCTGGTGCACAAAATTCGTGCGGGGAGGGTGTCCCTCAGCCCAGCCTGCACCCTCTCCAATCTGGACCCCTCAAGGGCAGTCAGACATCCCTCTCATAATCCAGGACTGTTGGCTCCCAACCACTTGCCTGCCTGACTGATTTCCCCTAAACGCTTCTTCCTGCCAGCCTGATCACCCCCTAACTGCTCCCCTGCCAGCCTGATTGCCCCCAACTGCCCTCCCCTGCCAGCTTGGTCTCCCCCAACTGTCTTCTCCTGCAGGCCTGGGTCCCCCCCAACTGCCCTCCCCTGCCAGCCATCTTGTGTCCACATGGGGGTGGCCATCTTGTGTGTTGGAGTGATGGTCAATGTGCATATTACCTCTTTATTATATAGGATTATATATATTGTGTCTTGGTTTTATTATTTTCTTGTGTTATTTGTTTCTTCTTTTATGTCTTTATTTTAAACACTAGAGGCCCAGTGCACAAAAATTTGTGCACTCGGGGGGGTCCCTCAGCCCGGCCTGTGCCCTCTCACAGTCTGGGAACCCTTGGGGGATGTCCATCTACTGGCTTAGGCCTGCTCCCCGGGGGATCGGGCCCAAGCTGGCAGTCAGACATCCCTCTGGCAGCCCAGGAGCCCTCGGGGGATGTCCACTTACCAGCAGGGAGCAGACCTAAACTGCAGTCAGACATCCTTAGCGCTGCTGAGGAGGCAGGAGAAGCTCCCACCACCACCGCTGTACTGGCAGCCATCAGCCTGACTTGTGGCTAAGCAGAGCTCTCCCTGTGGGAGCGCACTGACCACCAGGGGGCAGCTCCTGCATTGAGCGTCTGCCCCCTGGTGATCAGTGTGTGTCATAGTGACCAGTCATTTCCAGTCGTTCTGCTGTTAGGGTCAATTTGCATATTACCCTTTTATTATATAGGATAGAGGCTGGTTTGCCCTGAAGGGTATCCCGGATCAGGGTGGGGGTCCCGCTGGGATGTCTGGACAGCCTGGGTGAGGGGCTGAGGGCCGTTTTCAGACTGCCCACACCCTCTTCGGGGGGGAAGGGGGGCCCTGCTGGGGTGCCTGGCCAGCCTGGGTGAGGGGCTGATGGCCGTTTTCAGGCTGGCCATGTCCCCCGGTGACCCAAGCTTTCAGCCTCTCCTTTTTTTCTTTTTCTTTTTCTTT